CAGAAGACTACCAGATGAGCAGCTGAATTTCCCTTCACAATGTCTAGCTTTATTGTACCTGAGAGCCGCGGGTTACCATGAGTCCACACAACTCTGTCCCCAACTCGGGGCTGCTTCCTCTCCTGGATCTGGTGCCTGTGGCAACTCCCCCACTTTGACTTACATGAAAGCTGGCCCTCCTGCTGATCAGCCGAGATCCACTGGCTCCAGGGTCCAGCCTGGCTCTTTCAGGAGGCTCACAAGCAAACAGGGACGTTCTTCTCAAGCGCATTTGCTGAGCTTCCATGGACAGACTGATTCTCTTTTAATTCAGCACAATTGTTCAGATGGGGTTGGATGCTGTGGTGAAGGTGAGCGTGGGCTCATGCCCAAGGCATGCTACTTCCAAAGGGATGTACTTCTCATTGCAAGCAATGCTGTGCAGTGCAGGAAAATACCAGGAGATTGGGAGGCACAGAATTTGCTGCAAACCTACATACTAACCTTGATTGCTACACTTCATTGCTTTCAGCAGATGCGGGGAAGGATTGGACCCTTTGTCTTAGCAGCACACACATGCATTCCCTCTTACTCCTGCCTGATCGTAGAAGACAGGGGTGACAATGGAGTGGAGAAATGGCAAGCAGAGATAGGTATCTCAAAAAATTCCACTGGATAAGCAAGCCCTTTGGCCTGGCTGAAGTAGCCCTTTGGATCCTATACACCAGGTGCAGCAGACAGATACATGGAAGCAGATCGTTGATACTGTCGTAGACTAATCCACACAGGCACCAGATGGGTCCCAGCAGTAACTTGCACCAGTTTTATGCACTCATTCACAGATTAAACCGGGTATCACACCAAAAGGATTTGAGGCAATCCAGCGGCAGGCATAATGCTCAAGCTACAGCGAGCAAATGCTGTTTCTGGCCCTCCTGCAACAAATGAGCTAACTGAGCAGAACAAGAGAAAGAAAAGTTTCCAACTTGCTGCTGGTTAACAATAGGACAACTTTATGATTGTGGGCCATGCATGTGCTGGTCCTTCATTTGCTGAAACACCAAGAACTGAACTAGTTCAGGTAAGAAGACTTTCCATATGGAGACAGATGTTTGCTGCAAGCAGGAGGTCCTGGATTCAATCTGAAGCTTCTCCAGGTGGGGCTAGGAAGGAATCCTGCTGAAATCATGGCTTTCCTCTACAGTATTGGACTAGGTGACCTGTGATCCAGCTTGGAATACAGCTACAGCCTATATGCCCATGAATCTCAGTGGGGCCAAGAGGAGATTGCTTGCTGGAAATGCCACGCAGAGCCTGCAGGTTCCAAATTTCCCCCCAGCCCATCTTTGGACCTTACGGGAAAGATCCACCTTGAGCCAATATGTCCCCTCTGCACTTCAGGCTAAAGCTTGCTGGCGTCTGTACTGTATAGCAGTTGTATATGACTAGAGCTCCCATGAGGCCCAGCAAACATGGCCAAAGAGCAGAGCTTATGGGGATTGTAGTCCAGCTCAACTGGAGGGCCTTGGGTGCACAGGGATTGCTTGTTTTCACTTGTCATGATGTCAGGGAAGGACAAAACGGCAATGCTTGCCCTTGTGGGCCAGGGATGCAAGCAGGGCGGGCAGAACCTAACTAGTACCTAAGAGCTAGCTTTCCCTTATGCACCACAGCCAATTAAAACCAACAAACACACTTAGACACCCAGTCCTTTGAGTTAAAGCAGGCATGGGGGAAAGGGTGTTATCTAGTAGTCACTGGATTGCAGCTTGCATGATCTTACATCATGGGCTAGGTTGGTGAAGGCTGGCGGCACAGTGGTCCATCAACATTCAGAGGCCGACATGTCCTACATTCAGGATCCAGAGCTCCTGCTCTTCTCAGATGCTCTGAGCTGAACGGGGAGGCTGCTGGAGACAATGCACATCCCATGGATGAATAAAGAACTGAACCTTTGGGGTTCCTGCTTTTCAGGAATCCCCCTCCCAGAACCCCTTTTTATGACATTCCAATGTTATGTAGTCTGACGGTAATGATGAAGAACATCTCATGGCACTAAGGCACACCGGGGTAAGAGGGCCTTTTAGGTTCAGAGAGGGCATCAGTGGAAACAACATGTGGAAGTTGCTCTGTGCCAAAGAGCTCTGGGGCTCAGGACCACCCCCTCCAAAAAGCACTACCTTGCATATGCATCTCTCCGCGTCTGTAAAGAATCCATGGAATCCCTATGGCAAGGGGAGGGGATGGCATTTGCTTTGAAAAGAATTGGGAAGAGAAGGCAAGGGACAGCTGGAAGGGAAGCATGCGTGGGCAAAAGACCAGCTAGCACAGGAGTATCAGACACAACGGGGACTTTGGGGGTTTCATTTTAGCAAGTGCTTGTAGGCAGCAGGCTGATGGGGCAGGTGGCCTTCCAGATTTGGGGCTGCAAAGGAAAGATGAGTGGCTGCAGTCCTCGTAGAGTGTCCCCTAACACCACTTCTGTTGGCAGTTGTGTAGAAGGATAAGTAGCAGACAAAAGAATGCCCAGAAGAGGAAGCACCTGGCTCAGCACAGCAAAATGGGTGTGTTCCAAGGTGACAAAGGGTTTGTTTGAGGTAGAATGCAGAGAGTTCAGATTGGCAGCCATCAGAGGAATCATCCGAGAGACCTGACCATCAGTTGAGGACATCACAGAGATTGAGACTGAGATTGAGAGAGGGAACACAAGAGCTTGAGATGCCACACCAAGAAAGCGTAAGCCAACTTTGCGGGTGGTGGGAACTTGAAAGTAGTTCCCCGTAAAGTGAGGGGAAGCACTTTTTAGAAACATGCATCAGGTGTCCTGAAGTATACAACAGATGATCAGAAAGGAGGGGAATAGGGGAACCAAGAAGCAGGATCTGAGTTTTGCAGTGAAAACATCGGTAGACCAATTGCAAAGAGTGGTTATAGTGGTGGTGGAGTTAAGGAGAGATGGACCACCACCTTCTTCTGGAGCTTTAAAAACTGGGTCACACAGAACACTTACTGGTTGGTTTAGCTGAGCTTCTAAGCAAGAGGGTTACTTAGAAATCTAGAAAGGTGCCTACAGACGGTTTTATTTTATTTATGTTACATTCAGAATCACCCTGTCCATCCACAAAGGAACTCAGAATGCCTTCATAGAGTCAAAACTTCCCTATGAGGTAGATGAGGGGGAGAGACAAGAGCCTAATGCTTATCAATGGGAGTGGTCACCCGGCACCTCAGTTGTGCCAAGTCAGGACAGCTGTTCCTCCATACCATAAATAAATACACACACAAACAAATAAATAAGCAAATAAATAAAATATTTGGGAAGAAGGAGAAACTAGAACTGTGTTCTGTGCCATCTCTCTTCCCCTCTACGTATCTGGTATTTAGAAAATGGGAAATATCTGGTAGATCATTCATCCTTGAGAACCCTCACCTGAAGTGGTATAGCCCAGATTTAGGGTTACCAGCTCCATGAGGACTAGACCAAGGAGCTGCCCATAGGAGCTTGGGTGTGACACATTCTTCAAATTCAGCAAACTGGCTGTAAAAGATTATCATTGTTGTTTTGTTGTTGTTCTTATTATTCAACTAGTCGGAGTGGGGCAGCTCAGTATGGGAAACAAATGCACCTACTCTGAATAACTATAGGAGAAAGATATGGCCATAAAAACACAGGTGTGTCGGGGGGTTTTTTCTCAATACACATTTAGATTTTTCTCCCATTACTAACCATGAGCAAACCATTAATGGGTCAAGTCTGCCTTTCTACCAATGTTAGAACTTCCATAGTTCACTGTGTATCCATGAAGAATGCATCTATACTCGTATTACATGGCATTGACAAGATGGCTTGTGGAATAGAGCAACCCAGACAGATGAGGCACCTTCCCCATCTGCCATGTGCATTCAGCTGCCAGTGTCTTTCACCGTATGCATATAAAAATAAATATGTCCCATGGCATTGCTATTTGGCACAAATTATGAACAACACCTAGCAAGATGATAGAACTTCCTAGAAGCCTTGCTCCAATCCCTGCTCCTCCATTTTCCTTGGTCTAGAAAATGAAGGACATATCAAGAAGCCATCTTGCTTAGTGGTGTGAGGTTTTGTTACATTTATTATTATCCTTGTTATTTTTCCCATTCAGTAGTTGCTGGCCACACAAGCCTAAAAAACTCATTTTCTCCCCGTCCGCTTTTCAGGAACGGCACAGGAATGCATCGTCGTGGTGGAGGAAAGCATGACATTTGGGCATGGAACCAGGGTTTCCAGAGCGTGGCATTAAATCTGTGGTGTCAGCCCATTGCCTTTTGATTGTACAGCAGGAGAAATGTTTTGACTTAAGAGCGGTTCAGGGATTGCCCAGACTCTCTGGCCCTAAGCTTTGTATATATGCAAACAAGCACACTTATATCCCCCCTGTCTTCATATAGATTGCTTTTCTTCCCCGCTTTCCATGAGAGGGACAAACCAATCTGTATGAGAATTTCGAGGAAGCAGTAGAGTTGGCATATCTGTCTGTGTGTGTGTGGGTTAGGGAACAGCTGGCAGTTCAGAACACACCTGGGGACCCTGTACTAAAGGCCGTGGCAGTCCGTACACCCTATAAAATGTTGGGTGGGCAAGAGTTTCCAGTGGCAGCCATTGTTCTTCTGAGCAAGCCAAGCATTGGCTTTCTGGCCCATTTCCATAAAAATGGCACTCAGATTTCGTGTAGATTTTAGAAGGAGATGGGCACATTATTGATGCTAAGAGCTGTTCCCCACCTTGTAGGCGAGCAGAGATATTTCTCCTTTGGAGGACTTGAAGCAGAAGCAGGACTGCCTATCAGTTGGGAAAGTTCTACCTCTTAATTTCCTGCATTGTTCAGGCAGTTGGACAGATGGTTTAGAAGACCCTTCCAACTTGACTACATTTTTATAATTTCACAAGCAAGTTTTGGTTGTGTGTATGTGAATGTACTGGAGGGTATCTATCTATAATTGTCTCCAACCAAAAACTATCTTTTTTTGGTTTGGTTTTGGTTCAGTTTGGTTCATTTTTTAAAAGAGGGATCTTAAAATATTCAATTGATTTCCCTTTGTGCCCCAGATAAGACAGCTATAAATAGCTTGGTAATTTTTATCCTTCCATTTCTCTTTGTCTCACTAGCAAAGATAACCTTTTTTGGTCAGGATTAAGTTCAGCACCCTGAAAACCATGTCCATGCATATGTGTTTCTGTCATTAAAAAAAAAAAAAAAAAGGAAAAGGAAGGAAGGAAGAAAGAAAGAAAATTCAAACCATTTGAGAAGTTCACTTGAAAAAATAAAGAATGATTGGGTGGTAGATGAGGAGAGATGATTCTTCACCTAAAGAAATTTGGAGATGAACTTCTTAGGCAGCTAGCCAGCCAACTAGGACGAGGCACGATCAAGAGTTCCAACAGTGACTTCTCAGATACTGTTCTCAATTTGTCTTGATAATGTACTGTTTTCCCCTGCTTTCAGATGCTATCATCATATAGTTAGCCAGTGTTGGAGCTGGAAAGGAAGCAAAGCCACAAAAGATCTGGGTGAAAACTGCTGTTGGAACTCTCAATAGGGTTACATCTATTATAGCAAGTGTGGAAGAATTTAAAAAAACCATTCCTCTCTATTTAAAAAAAAAATACACAGACCCTGCCCCGAGCCTGCCATGCCCACTGTTGTGAGCAACCTGGAGAAGGCTTGGTCCTCTGGCCCTTCCAACTCGACCATTCTATGATTCTATGAAGGAAAAATTAAAAAAAAAAAAACCCTCTGATCATCAAATCTACTTAGTTTATGGTCGAAGAGCTTTTTGAAAATGGTGACAATGAGGGACAGTATTCATTACAAGGTGAGGAGACTACCAGCAGTGACTGGTCTTGATGACTTGATATTGGCTCTGTCATCAGATGGAGGCAATATCTCTTGATACCAATAGCTGGGAAACAGGAGAACGGGGTTCTTCTGTCCTCGTGTCCTGCTTTGGGACTTTCCATCGCCACCAGGTTGGTCACTGTGGGAGCAGAAGGCTGGATCACAAAGAGCTTCAGCCTGATCCAGGATGGCCTTTCTGGGTACTTGGTTTTCTAAGAAAACATCAGATTTCTATAACCAGGTCCTGTCCAGACCACAATTTCCAGCATTGCCAGCAAACATGTCCGGAATGATGGTGACTGTAATTCAAACCAACTTGAATTGGAAAATGCTATTGAATGGGAGGATATATGGAAAATCAAACATTTATTGATCATACATCTTTCTGTCTAGCTAGCAGTTCTTATAATAAGGTAGAAGCAAAGAATCTCTCTTGACGAGAGGAATACAAACCTTGAACTGCCGCACATTCCCTTGTGCTACAAGATGCTGCTCATTCTCAGGTGTGATGCAGTACGCAAGTCTCTAAAGAGGGTACAGGGAGTGAAAGTTACTTCGAGGGAAGTTGTTTCTGTACGGTGATCTGTGATGGTGGAAGGAAGGAAGACTAACGAGCTAAGTGAGATCTGCTGGAGGACCAATTTCACAAATGTGCTCCTCCAGAGCTTTGGGTTCTGAGCCAGTCATTATTATACTAATTGAAGCTATCGCGATATCCATCTGTCCCTGGTGCTTATTCTGCTCCTTCTGATCTCAGGCCCAGACAGAATGTGATGCAGGAATGTCAGGACTGGGTCTCACAGAACTTTGTTCTTTATTTCACAGCAAGCTTGGTGCTATGATAATTTCAGTTGTGATACATGTGTGTGTGATGGAACCCTTTCTCCCTACAGTGTTTGTCCAACTGGGCACAGGTCCTTCCAGAAGCTTCTGTTAGGCTGGCAAGGAAAGGATCCTGCTTTCCATATTATACTGTTTTTTCTCTCTCCAGCCCAGCTAACAGCAGGTTCAAGGAGACTATTTCAAACCAGGGATGCAGCATGACCTTAATGTAATTAGCAGCAACCAGAATTGCTTTGAAGTAAAGAAAAAGAAGTTAGGAAATCCAGTGCTAGACCTTATCTATTGTGCCTAGTTTTGCCCCTTAATAGGTCAGATTTTGGGGTGCTTTAGCTTTCAAATGCCCAGCACAGGAAGCAAAGAAGCATCCTAAATCCTCTCTTGAAACAGTAAATTACTTAAAAGCTGTTTCCAAAAGGTCACCTCTCGGCAAAGCGTTTGTGGAATTAAAGAAAGCAAACTCTTAGCTTAATGCTGGCGATATTCATTTCACAAAGAACATTTCCATGACATTTCATTGCCTGGCCACTCACTTGCTTAAAGGTCCCCTGTGCTTTCACTAATTTATAGACAATGTATGCAGGAACGAGGATCATCGAAGACAATGCTATGCCCCATCCGACAGAATTGGCCCATCGTGGGAAGACATATTCGTCGTAGGTCAGTGGTTTGAAATTGACAACACTGACTATTACCACAAACTATGGGAAGAAGGAGGAGAAGAAGGTGAACATCGATTTTGTTTGAACCATGCATATAACCCAAGGTGGAAAGAACACTTCAAATCAGCTAGAAGGTTGCATACATGCAAAATTTCTCAAGGATCCTGCAGGGATTCTTACCTGGGTCTTTTGTTTTCTGATCAAACTGAGCTGAACCTGTGGACCTGCAAGGGTTATGTGTGCTTAGAAGGTGGCCTTGTTAAGGTAAGGTAGCTACAGAATGATAGTCATCAAAATGGTGAAGGGTGCAAATGAATGCCTCTTTACAAGCTTCCATAGCCTGCAGTGCCTGATTCTGCCTAAACTTTGAAGCTAAGCAAGGTCAGGCCTGGATCGAAAATGGATGGGTGACTTACATGTTGTGAACCACCCGGAGACCTTTGACTATAGGTGGTACAGAAATGTAATGTCATAATAGTAATAATAATGATGTGATACACATTGTCTGGTGGGGGCAAGCTTTGTTCTACCGAACTTTCTGATTCAATGTAAATGATTCTGCTTGAAAAGTGGCAGCTGGTAGACATTGTCCTATAGGGTAGTGGTGAAAAGACCCACAACTACGGATGATGGAGAAACCCATACGAAATTCAAAGGGCTATAGTTCAACCCATGCATTCTGTGGAGAACCAGCAGAGCATGGGGAACATTGCATACCAGCAAAAGTTACATAAATTCCAGTGATTCTTCTTTTGGGGGAAGGTACTTTTCACATTTGGATGTGGATTCCATCAACAAGGAGAATGGAAAGACACATACAGTATCTAATGAGCTGCATCACCACATGGAATGGGTTGAGTGGCATCCCTCACATCTCTCCTGGAGAGGGATGGTGCTTCCTCGGGGATGCCGTAGGAGGCGAGACTGCGGGAACTGGGTCTCTTCAGCCTGGAGAAGAGGAGACTCAGAGGGGATCTGTTGGCCACATACAGGTATGTGAGGGGGTGTCACACGGAGGTGGGCAGAGACCTGTTCTCCCCTGCAGAGGAAGGCAGGACGTGCTCCAACAGAACCAAGCACAGGGAGCCAAGGTTCCATTTGGATGCCAGGAAGCCCTTCCTGACAGTCAGGACCCTGAAGGTGTGGGATGGGCTTCCACAGCAGGTCGTTGAGGCCCCATCGGTGCGGGTGTTCAAGGACAGGCTGGACGTCCACATGGTGGGCATGTCGTGAGCGGAGCTGGCTGGTGCCGGAGGTCAGACTAGATGGCCCGGGAGGCCCCTTCTGACTCACTCTGTTTCTATGTTTCTATGTTTACTGAAATAGGAGTGCCTTGTCTTTTCAACATGCATCTGGGGGCGGTGGGGCTTGTAGGAGCTGTCCAGGGTCCTGAACATGCCCAGAATAGTATTCGCCATCATGGAATACCATGAATTGCTCTTACAAAGCTCAAAATCCAAGCTTCAATGGGTAGGATGCCCCACTGGCCTTTATTTATTTATTTATTTGAAGCTTTTTTTTTATACCATCCAGCTACTAGTGTCTCATGCCAGTTCTACAATAAAAGCAACACAGAATGAAATGGAGCACAGCATCTAATACTTCCTGTATAATAAAACCCACATTAAAACCTATTAATTAAAACCTATTAATTCCATAATTGGGGGGCCAGCAGAGAGAAGGCCCTTCTCTGGGTAACCACCCTTCTAATCTCATTCAAGGAGGGCTCCTGGAGAAGGACCTGCAGTTTAGATCTTAAGGGAGGCATAGTCACTAGACTCCCGCATCCCTGTCCACAGATGGGTACTGCCCTAGAATAAAGGAGATGTGATAGACTGTCAGCCTGTCAAGGTTAGAAAAGTGGGGCCCATGATAAAAAGCCATGATGCTCAGTGGGGCCAGAATCCAGGGCAGGCTTCCACACATAACTTCCAGCAACCAGCTGGTCCACTGATTCCACAGCACTTAGAAGTGGCAATTCCACAAATGACCCCACAAACAAACATGCTGTGTTCCAGATGGGAATAGGTCAACCGATCTCTGTTTTGCAAGCTCCGATGACCTGCTCCATTCTCAGAGAGCAAATGTACCTCTGGGCATGCCATCAGACCTGCAAAACCCTCATTGCATGTCATGTTACTTCTGCCATCGCAAAGACATATGAACACATGTATCCAGGAATAGGCATCTGGTCAGGTTCACGTCTATTCGTTTTTTGGGATTATCACCACTAAGTCTTTGCCACATTCTTTCACCATCACTCTGTCATTCTGCTTTCAAGGGTCCCAGGGAAAATGGACACATGCTTTTGTGTGTATTTATCTCAGTGCTCCTATTGCTGGGTGTGTGTTAAATGCACCACTGCCCCCTGTTGGCACAGAGCAGATTGCGTGTGCTTCCCCTTCAGATTTTGTGTGCACTTTCCCCCCGATGCATCTTTTTCTGTGATCCATGCACACCTGATCCATTATTTTGTGTGCATTTTTAAAATTAAGGACTTAATCACAAGATTGAGAAATGCATCTGGAACATAAATGCCTTCCGTCACCTGCACTTGGAAGCTATACCATCCTTCGGCTCTTAAAACTCGAGCATAAATGGCAGCCGTGGAAAAAGCTCCAGTTCCTAACACAATAACTGATTCAATATTGAGTGTCAGCTTAAATGTTTTGTTTTCACAAAGACAGGCCTGAAAGGGTTTGATTTGCCTATAATGTCCCTTATTAGGGCTGTCACTCCAACATCGAGTTAAAGATACAGCATGGTGAAGAAAAGGCTTTGGCATTAATTGACGTTTTCTCTGGCAGCATTTTTGGAAGAATGACAGCAGCAACAACCACAGCCTCCCAACCCTAACCTGATCAAAATGGATGTGAGCAGAACATGCTAGGGAAGGAAACTTCACTGCTGGAGCAGATATTTGATGGACTGAAGTCCAATTAATGTGGAAGGAAGTTTAGCCCAAGCTGTTGCCCTTTTCAGAAGGATCACAGGAAATTCACAGCCAGAGGTGAATGAGAAAGAGTCCAGTAGCTCTCTCCACTCAAGTATAGCACATAGTTGTGTCCCAGCCTCTAGAGACGCTCTTGCCAAGAGTGGGCCAAGGAGATATCAGAGGGAGCAGACTCAATATCATTAACCCAAGAATTCTGATTAAGAGGGTGGATCCACTGAGACACATTGGATGTTCCATGCAATTAGCCCATAAGCAGCAGGACTCACCTTGAGTCATTTGCTCTTTTCAGCTTGGAAGGGAAAAGGGGTATTCAGTTTGGAATTAACTTCCTGTGATTAAGCAGACTTTCCCTAAGGACCATTTTTCTGCCTTGCTTTTGACTTTTGCTACTGAATTCTGCAATACTCTTCCATGTTCCACAAAGCCAGCCTAGCTGGTCCACTGTAAGGTGATAAAAACATTAGCCTTTTGTATGGATCTGTTTGGAAGAAGGAGGAAAAGACTGGCTGTATTCCATTAATAGAGAATTTGATTCAATGGCAGAGTTGGTTGCAGGATGCTTGCTTCACTCCCACAAGCACATACATGATGCAAGAAATCTACAGCTGCAGCAACACAAAAGCCGCAAGCGAAACGTACCACCAGCCAACCCTAGGTCCTTTCCCTATGAAATGCGATTCTGCTGGGATCACAATGTGTGGGACCCCTGAATGCCTTGTTTCCTAGCAGAATCAGCAATTTTGCAAAGAAACTGCATGTATGGAAAATGAAAGCCTTGTTTTCCAGCAGAATCTTATCCATTTCCCAAAATCCACCAGTAAGTTTTGCCTTCCTTCTGCTCCTTTATCGTTCCAAATGTTTTTCTTTTAATTTTATTTTATTAGCATCTGCTACTCATCACTGAAATTAGGACATCAGGGTTCACTTTGCAATTCTTGGGACAACAAAGAATCCAGAATGGTAGACAACATCTTCTGTTTTAATGCTGCTTTTTGTAGCATAATCATGCACTTAGCTGACTTCTAAAACCCCATTGTTAAAGCTATTGAAAAAACACCTCCAAATTTTAAGTGGGGAAGAGAGAGCAAACATATCTAAATGATTCCAGGGTTCCAAGAAGAAATATTTTCCATGTGATAAAATATATAAATGATGCCAAGGGCTCACAAGGTTTGTTTGCTTTGGAATAACTAAATATTTCATTTCCACAAGTGCTTAGCTGATTTCCCCACTGTTGCAAATGACTGAAGATCAGTGTAATATCTACTCCGCAACACCCCCCCCACACACACACACACACTAGCTTGAACAATTTACTCAACAGCCATTTTGCTCAGTATTTCTCAAAGGTCATCCTATCCCTAAACCTCATGGGCAGTCCATGGCCTACCTAAAACTCACCCACTAAGGTACAGCCCCTTTCAGTTCAATGGTATTGCAAGGAGTAGAATACATTGTTCAGCTGCACACCATTCAGCTGCAAGAGATTTTCATGCTCAAGATGCACCCACATGTACGTCCTCTTTCTCTGTTGCAACGATGCAAATTAGCCCTGGGTGCTGCAGCTGATGATGTAGGGAAGTCAAACATGCAAGAGGTGCAGTCGATACTCCCCTCCTATGATTTCTATTAGAACAAAGCGCTTACCAGTAGAAAAGCTGGGCTCACAAATTTCCAACACAGTCGCCAGTAGAGGCCTGGTTTGAAACCCATCATCCGCTCAATATCTTCACTGAACCTGTCCACACCTGATGATTGACCACAGATATAAGAGAAAGGGAGAGAGAAAGGTACAGAAATTTATTTGACTATGATAGTCCTGGTAAGGAAATCAACCCTGACTGCTCTTTAGAAGGCCAGATACTGAAGATGGAACTCAAGTACTTCCAACAACTCAAGTACTTTGTTTCACTTAGGAAACCCCAAAGACTGGCATGCCTCCCCTCAGGGTTTGTGACTGACAATGAAAGCTTTAAGTGCAAATAGGCTGGTGTTTGGTGGGGTTTGGAAATACTATTTTTGCTTTTGACTCTGCCAAGAAACTAGAAATGGTCCCCAACAACTTCTGTGCAATGGAATCCAGCCCTCAGCCATCCCCCGTCTCTCATGTAAATGATCTGGTAGGTGCAGTGGTGGCTGCTTGACATCAAACTCCACTACCAAGTGCACGTACCATAAAACCAGGACACACCAATGGCTTCCATTAAAACAGCAAACAAGATGGACGTCCCAGCAGCAAATGTGTCCAGAAGAGTAAGCACATAAATTCCACCCTGCAGAACAGAAGGAAAGTACCCAACAGCTTGATGAGATCAGCAATTCCAGAAAAGCTTCAAATTAAATTAAGCTTGGCTGTGATTTAATTGACTTAATCCCTATAGCCATAATCAACCAGTGTCCTCATTGGGTAAGTTTGATTCATGTAAATGAAGAGGGATGCAATATAAAAAAGGAAAAAGTCACAATCTTCTTTTCACCAGGCCCCTAAAACTCATAAAGGTTGGTGTCAGGCATAAACATCTGGAAAGAACATTCCGAAGATGGAATTCATACTCCTTGACCACCACCTGTCTAACCTGAGAGAGCAGCCAGTGGCCGTTAAAAAGGGAGAAGCCAGATTGCCTCCAAGGGCAAGCAATTCTATACAGGAGTAGGCAAACATTTCAATGCACCGGACCCAAGTCATAAATTGTACCTTGCAGTGGGCTGGGGAAAGAATTTTTTCCTGATCCACCTTATTATGCAGAGGAGCACTTTAGCATCAATGGAATGTTTCAAGACATTTGTACAGGCACCTGGTTTGTAAAGCTGCTAAGCTATGGGGTGAAACAAGTGAGCAGAAACCACAGTATTTATTACTGGGCTGTTCCATTTCTGATTGCAGGTTTGGGAGGTGGCAAGGGGGAGCAATTGATTTAGTACAGACTGTTCCCCTGGGGAAAGCTAACAACAGAGAATTTAGGCAACCATTTTCTTGGCCATGCTGCTTTTAGCTATTTGTGAAATAACAAAGATCAGTGTGCAAGCAGATCTAAAAAGTGATCTTTCCTCATTTGAATGAATCAAAATTCAGGTCAGAAAGAAAACAGGAACAAGATGAAAAGAGCTTCAAAGAGGCTTTCAGAGAATTTAGGTGAGCTTGAACATCCCTGTTTCTCCCATGGGGATGCACTAAAACGCAGTTTCAATGTGCCATTTCTCAAAATGCACTCTATGCAATCTGGAATATGAGCTCAAATGGGGCCACATTTTCTCTGAAAATGCTCACCAAGTGCCAAACTTATGTTTACCTTTGCACAATTCATGCTTGAGAAATGCACAGCTTTCTGGAAAATGAACTACTTTCTCAAACTATGTGAGACCCTGGTTTAGGGGTCCATCCCAGGAGAAAAGGAAGAAACAGAGGGAAGAAGTGTGTTTATTGCTCTCACTTTTCTAGCAAGCTTTCCATCCCTCTGAACAGGTTGCTACCCTTCTCCTGAGCCTGAGAAAAATGGCAAAAAAATGTCCCACCATTTTATTGCGGCCTGTAAAATGGTCTACACATTGGGAGAGTCTAATGTCCATCTCTGGCCACCTAATGAGAAGGAACAACTCATTGGAGAAAACCCTAATGCTGGGAACAATTGACAGAAAAAGGAGAAGGGGATGGCAGAGGATGAGGTGGCTGGATGGAGTCATGGAAGCAGTGGGTGTGGGCTTGGGTGGACTCCGGGGGATGGTGGAGGACAGGAAGGCCTGGAGGAGTGTTGTCCGTGGGGTCGCGATGGGTCGGACATGACTTTGTGACTAATAACAACAACAATGTTCATTTCACACTTGCAAAGGACAAACTTACATTTGTTATACAGCACAGAGCAAGCAAGAAGGTGCCGAAGGAAACACAAAAGGTGAACAGCTTCCTGCGCCTCTTCAGGATCTGGAAATCATCTGCCAAGCCCGTGATGACAGCCTCCATGCCACCCATCTACGGAGGAGAGCGGAGAGGGGAGGACAGGGGGGCGTTGTGGGTCAGCAAGGGCGGCAGGGGCAGAAGGCATGGCCAAACGCCCTTCAGGAGAAACCGCTGTGGTTCACCGGGCGATGTGGACCCACCCCCAGTGCCAAGAGGGCTTTCCCTTTGGGGTCAGCGGAGGAGGGCGTGATACTTACCGAACTGTCAATGCCTAACGTAAGCAGCATTATGAAAAACACAACTGCCCAAAATGTTGCTCCATTCAGGGTGGAAATAGCTTCTGGGTAAAGGATGAAGACTAATCCAGGTCCTTCAAAAACGAAGCAAAAAGAAGATCTGTCTCCCGATTTCATAAGCCGAATATGAGTTTTACTAATTAATAGGCACCGTTGTTGTTTATCACCTTGATCAGAGTAGTCTTCAACTTAAATCTCTTTTCTAGTGCATTGCTTTCCTACCCCTCTCCTTCCTCCCTGGCCTGAGAGATATATTTACCAAGTTGCAATGTTTGTAACATACAGTGTAGCCTGAGAATTTTATAGCAACACCTTTCTGAATTCTTTATGGGCACAGAGTAAGTGTGTGTGTGTGTGTGTGTGTGTGTAGGGGTTAAGTTTGGTTCCTCAAGACTAGGCAAAATACCTGCTCCAGTCAGGAAAATAGACCTGAGAGGTTTTGCCAGACCAAAGGAGAAATCTAGGAGAGAAAATGAGGAAAAAAGATAGTGCGTCAAAACTGTGTAGAAGAGGTTTTGGTGGTAAATGTTTTAGAAACAAACCCAGAAAGAACACGCACAACGGATCGTAGGACATAGTACTTCAGGGGCGACACAATGCCCATGTGAGCTGGTGTGATCTACTTAGTTGACAGCTTCTTCAGTATATTTGACTCAACAAGGAGAAATAGGGTGTGGGTGGTTTGAAGAGAGGAAAGGGTTCAATTTGTAGGAAGTAGACAAGCCATCGTACCTTCAGTGGCCACTTCCTGGATGCTGACTTTATATTCATGAGCCATGTAGCCCAAGATGGAAAAAATTGCAAATCCTGAGATGAAGCTGGTGACGCAATTGATTGTACTGGTCATCAATGCATCCCTAAGAGCAACCAAGAGAAGACAAATGAAGGAGGAGAAACACTAGTGCCGACCGCCTGAAAAAACCCAATGCAATGCCCTTCTAGCAGAATCAAGACCAAATTAGTGCTAGTAACTGTGTCTTTCAACCTTTTATAACTGGGGGAAGCTACAGAAAAGCCGGAAAACTTACCCAGTGATTGGTGGGTAGGGGAAGAGGGTGCAGCCATCTTGGGATGGTTGGATTATGACCCCAGGAAGGAGAGATTTGGCCCCTGACCTGAGGTTTTCTATCCATGATCTAATGACTGGTAGGAGTTATTTCTACCCCATCTGGAAAGATCAAGGATTGGACTTGGATCCATTGGTAAACAAACCATAGATTCTATTAGGGATGAAAGTTGGACCTGATGGCCGTCTTGCCCCCTCCCAAACTCTACGATTCTATGAATTTATCTGTTCTCAAACTAAACTTGAGCTTATTGAAGTTCTCCAAATTCCATCGTGGCTCTCCTTCCGTCTTGCGTCCACATCAGTTGGTAACCCCTGTGACTATGCCAAATCTACACATCAGTTTGCACATCTTTGAATGTATTTCAAATGTTCAGCTCCATGCATCCAGCCAAAGACAACCTTTACGGACAGAGCAAGGTCCTTAAGTCACGCTGCATTGCAAGTTTGGAAATGCATGTGCTTCATTTGCAGATTGCGTTTGATTCAATGTTTAGTTTGCATGGTGAAAACTGACTAAACCGAACCAGAAATTAGCTGAAATGTATTTCTCATCAATCCTCAGTCCTTACGTCCTAATACAGCATTATACAATTGAACAGATGTCATCAATGCTCTTCAGATACTACATCCCCCGGTGAAACTAGTTGTTTTTCACCTCAGTACTATTCTGTAGTATGCTCTTTTCATGGAAATCAAGCAGATGACACTTCTGCAGATATCCTGCCTGCCCAACCCCTTACACAAGAGCCACTTACATTCCAATTGCTGCATAACATGGTCTCATTTTAGAGGATTAAAGATAAAAGGCATATTTCAAAAACAGAACAAATGGCTCTTTTTTGGCAGAGAAAGAATGACATGAGTAAAACCGCAGAGGACATGTTTAATAATTTCCAAACAATTTAACGCGGTTGAGCCCGCTGCCTCAAGGGGTTTTTAATTAGGCTTCCTCCAACACATTCAGGGTGGTGTTGGTGCTTTGCTTGTGTCTGGGATTTTTTCTTCTGCCCCTTTTGAGGCATTCCATGGTAAATTTACTTAGATTACAGGATAAAAGCAATTATTCAGGAAATGGTTCTCTCTCTCTCTCTCGCTCTCTCTCTTTTAAAAGGCATGCTTCCCAGTGATTGGTTACGATTAATGGTAATCTAATTGCGAAAGGCAGATGGTGGTCATTTGGAAAGCCATGTGTGATTGCAGGTGTCACTTCTGCTACACAGTGATGGCCATTCATTATCACCCAGGCTCACTCCCCAGCAAATCTAAAGCTGTCGAAAGCCAAATTCAAATCTAGAGCGAATAGGCCAGCGAGCTGCTGAATCCAATTCAGCACAGACGGCCTGGAGCACATGCTCATTAAAACAGACATAGCCATTCAACCCCTTTTGCCTTATGAGCAGTTTGAGACATGCCTGAAGTGGGGTTGGTTGCAGGTTATGCGGGACCCTGGGCAAGTATCTTTTCTCGATCATCCCAGAAAGCTCCATTGGTGGAGAGTAATGAGCTCAATTTACAGGCAGCTGAACATCCAGAAGGACTGGATGCAGCAGTATGATAAGGGAGCCCATGACCTAGGGAGGTGGTGGGCTTTCCCACACTGGAGGCATCCAAGATGCAACTGGACAGCTATCTGAGGTGAATGGTTTAGCTCGGTGCCTTGGACTGGGCAGGGGGTTGGACCCTCTGGCCTTCCCATTCCTTCCAGCTCTATGATATTGAGTATCCACGAGCCCCCTCTCTCAGTGATGCCCCCCCACCAGCAGCTGCTACACCTGCTCAACAGGCAGAGAGTGAGCAACTGAGCCAGTTGGCCATAGCATCTATTGCTTCTTCTTCTTCTTGCCACCACCATGGTCTGGGACAGAAAGAGGGTTGGGTGAACAAGGTGGTTCTTCACAGTAGTGGTTTCCCAACCATACTGACCCTTGAGGACAGCCCTGCCCGAAAGCGAAATGCTCCTGCCTAGGAAGATACTCCATGTAGCTGCTTCCAGTCAGACTGCCCAGCTGCAGTCATCCATCACAAAGCAGCCACCTTGTCTTCCATGACCCTGTGGGATTTCTAAGATCATTACTGGAGGGTTTGCTCGAAACATAACCCCCATCGGAGCATGGGCAGCGGAAGAATGGGGGCAAAACCTTTCTAGTCGTGGTGTCTCGGATTTGGAACGGTCTCCTGGGGAAGCGCACCACCTACCAAGTGAAATTACTTCCAGATGCCAAGCAAAGATCTTGATATTTACATAGACCTTCTAATCTTTCAACTTCTTAACACCAGTAATGCCACTCAGCTGTTTTTGTTATTTTAAACTGTTCTGCCGGTTCAGTGTTATTTCATATTTTTAAATGCCTTTTTCTTTCTTGATTTTAAGCTGCCTTGAAATGCTACAAAATTGAGAAGTGATGTGCGTGTGTGTGAGCACTTGCAAAGGAAACTGGTATTGATCAATTTCAGCACCATGGATAGCTTCTCTAAAGCTCAGGTTAAAGGCTGAAATGGATAAAGAGCCCAGTGATAAGGGTGTCTCTCCCCCCTCCCTCCCCCCTCTCTCTCTCTCGGCAAGAAGGGGCCAGAACAATGGGGAACATCTTTGCTGATTCAGGGCAACTCCTTCTCCCCATCTGAATTTGGGCCATATTTGGGAAATATGTGGTACCATGGAAGGTAGGCTGTACACAAGTACCATTTCTGGCAACGGTCAATATCATTCTAGTAAGATATTAGCTTCCAGTTCTCTTGCCGTCCATGCAATATGAGGCAGCCTTAATGGTGGACTTGAAGGCTCTTAACTTTTAATCGCCGACTGTGTGTACATGTGATTTGTTATTTCATTATAATGATAGTACAGTAACATCAAGAATTTGTATCTCCTTTATGAAGTGATAGGATTTGACTTTTCTTTCCCATTTCAATTATTCTATCGATGACATTTTTGAAAAATCAATAGAAGGATTAAATTAAAGATGTGCAGGCAAGTTGCCAGCTCATGGCCTACCTGTAACAGTTGTTGTCGAATTTATTATAGCTGGCAAAAGCAATTAAGACCCCAAAACCAGCTCCTAAGGAGTAAAATATCTGTGTGGCTGCATCAATCCATACCTGCAAAAATGAAAAAAAAGGGGGGACATTCCTTAACTGAGCACACATACACTTTGCTTGTTCTTCCAACAAGAGACAACAATGGAAACTAAATGAGGCAGTAGCCAAATCTGCAAATTTTACTAGCCACATTGAGTTATTTACTTGGCATCATTATGTCCTTCTCCATATCCAAGCAGATTCCACTGTGGTAAATAATAGAAGATAAAAAACACAAACCCCAATATGAATACAGATAAAAAACACAGAAAACACCGATTAGATCTTGCAAATACGGGATGCCAGTAAGAACTGCAGCTGCTCAGTGGGGGAAGACCGACTGAAATGACCATATTTTGTGCAGGCAGTGGATACAGAATAGTCTGGACATCCAGACGTGGACTTGTTACTGTTGCATTGCCAAGGAAAGTATGAAAGTAAGAGAGGGAGGGAGGGAGGGGGCCAGCAAAGTGAAAGCTGCATTCTGGGGGGCATGATATGGACAGATGCTGAGTGGAACCACCAGGATTGCCTCATCTACTTTCTGAACGTTACATCCTGCTTGGACCACTGCTGGGCACTCTGTGGGGCTGCCTTCCAAACCTTCTCAGCAACTTCAGCTGGTCCAGCATGCTGTGGCCAGAACTGCTGACCAGGGCAACAGCCACGGGGGCAAGTGTCTCCCATGTTCAAGCTTCATCAGTTCACAGTCTGTTTCCAGGCACAACTTGAAGGGAGTTGCTACCTGTCCTGAATTAAGTTGATGCCCTCATTTTTCAAATTTGGAATGAGCACTTCAGCTTTAACCTGTGATGATACCTCTTGGTACTGCTCTCAGATACACCAAAGTACAGACCTTTGAATGTTTTACTCTGCATCAATGCCATGCATAGTCTTGCCCAGAGCTGCTTTCACAAACTATTTCGAGTTTGCAAAATATTTTTCCAAGAGGTGCCACTCAGTCTCTCCCTCTAAGCTCGCGTGCTGCGTCACTGGGAATGTTCCTACGGCATTTTGCTGGTGTTTAGTTCTTGCTTAGAGATAATAAATGGCAGATTTACAAGGTAAGGAAGAGAAAAACAATCAGGGGATCCATAGACACTAAAGCAATTGCAGGAAGTTCCTTGCAAAGAACAATGAGGAGCAGAGGCACATGCCTTCTGACAGCACAGGTTTGATTGAGTAGATATTGTTCCTCCTTTTCTGAAACAGATTTCAAGACTTGATGTCTGTGTAGCAACAATTCATTCATTCATTCATTGCTGGGGAGTCAATGAAGTGACAACTTCCACAATTCAGACCGAGGGATTTCTGTCATTGTTCCATTCAGATAACATCAGCATAATATGGGCCAACCCCGGTGCATCACCAGCTGCAACATTTGGAGAGCCAAGAAGATGGGCACAGGGCCTATCATCCCAAGAGTAGGAACTTCTCAGTTGGCATGGACCATCCAACGTGATCAGAATTGGTTTTGGGGGGACCCTACCTCTGCAAGTTAAATTGTCCCCCTAAGGACCTGATCACCCCAACCCTTTGCACCCAGTACTGAAGATCGGTAGGGGTTGGATCCAGATTTAGCCATCCCTAGAGTACAGCCGTTGAAATCAATGGGACAAAAGTTAGGTCACAAATAGCCACTCCCTGACCACTCTTAGCACGGCTGAAGCTGGATCCTAGCTTAGGAAGCCAAGTTTACTCACACTGACCGTTTTGTGCAACAACCCCATCACAGGAGTGGCACAGGAGGCTGTTAATGGAAACGTAAGAAGGTACCATCAGCCTTGCCAGGTCGGAACAAATGTCCACCTTGTCCAGCATCCTTTTACCCCACACTGGTCAACTAGGAGTCCCCCGGGAGGCCATGAAGTGAAACAAACAAGCAAATGCAAAACCAAAACAAAGCAATTTAAAAAATCCCCCAAATGTTCCCATATTATAAGTCCTCAGTGTCTGAATCTCAGTCTTTCTCTCTCTCTCTCTCTCTCTCTCTCTCTCTCTCTCTCTCTCTCTCTCTTTCTTTAGGAGACTTCTATGCCGCCCCATTCACCGAAGCCTGGTGGCGGCTCACAACCATAAATAAACTTCAAAATAGAATAAGATAAATTAACAATATAAATTAAGTCACCCTGGCCAAAGAATAAAATGAATAAAGAATATTAACAATTAAAATAACATTTGAATAAAAAGGTCTTCACCTGGCGCCGAAAAACAAATAACGACGGCGCCAGGGGGACCTCCCTGGGGAGCGCATTCCATAGATTAGCTCTGTACCCAGAGGTCTCGTTACTAACATGGGTAATTAGAACATAAATTTGTAGGAGGAGCAGGAAATGTAAGGAGCAGGTCCATTGCTCAGTCCTACAGACCAGATCTGCCCTACTGGGCACCCCAGTCCAAACGTTCAGATTCCCTCGGTGACCATGGCTCCTTCCTCTTTTCCCAGTTACCCACCACTAGGCAGTTTCCTGGTTTTTGCATGCTTTGTCCTCATCACACCAAAAGGCTGAAAAGTCTCTCCTAAGGTTTGGTTGCAATCACAGGAGCTTTAAGCTGGAAGAAGCTGGAGCTCACCCCTTCTGTCTGCATCCTGGCTCACCACTGGAATATCAGAGCTCATCCAAAATTGGATCTGCCTCTCATCCCAAAAGAGACTCAACATCACAGTTAAGAGAGAACAAGCAGCAGAGGAGCTGTGCTCCATGCAGAAGGTCCTCGGATCAGCCACCAACCTCTCTAGCCAGGGCTGGGAAAGACTCCCTGGAGAGCCATTTCCAGTCTGTGCTGGCGATGCTGGGCTAGCTGGATCAGCTCAGTATATGGCAACTTCCTATAAGAGTCCCTAGGCATAGACAGAAATGTCTATGGTCTCTCAGGATCTCAGTGATGACTACCAACTTGGAGGGGCTGCAAAAGGGGATTAACCAAGGGAAGATGAGGTTATCAAGGGCTTCTTGTTGTGGTGGCTTACTGGGGGCATCTAGTTCGCCATCATGGGAGAAAGGGATCCCGACAGCAGGATGCCTTTGTACACCAGCTGCTGGAGGTGGCAAGCAAGAAGGCTTTATTGTCTTATTCCACCAACCTGCTAGGGAAGAGTAGGAGAAGGAGAAGACATGAAAGTGCAGACTTACGGTGGCTTCTTTTAATCTTCTGAAATCAATGTTGAGGTATGCTTTGATTCCATCATATGCACCAGGCAAAGTTAGTCCATGGATTAACAGTACCGATAAGACAACGTAAGGCAAGGTGGCTGTTATCCATACGACCTAGAGGATAAGACAGACACCACAAAGACGGATTCATCTTCAGAGAGACCAAAACCCGATGAACGCTATGGTTCCTGTGGTTGTGGAGTCACAGATCTTTATTTCATTGTGCAGAGTTTCAATGGCAGGTGCCAGTATCCAGATGAAACTGGGAATCCACCTAGTGAAAACATGATTTCCCCAAATGACACTTGTGGGGACCAACGTAAAGTATGCATTTTTGTGCGTTCATTCCCTTTGGTTTCATGCATAGCCCCAAGAAAGGCATGCAATGATCTAGAATCCTCTGGCTTGCCTGCCACACACCTACACCTTTCAGACGGGCACCAGAGGGACCTCAGGAAGGTGTGGATCTTGATGTGGTTTATTGAACCAGAGCCAAACTGTCTTTAATGTTGGAGCTGTATGTGGATTTAGAGAAAACAGCCACTGATTCAAACTGGGCTCAGAAACATGGATGGAGTCCATGACAATGAAGCAGCAGTGGAGTCACTGGCTCTGAATGATGAGCCAGCTAAGTGGCTTTCCAAAGCATCTTCATAAGGCAGAACATTGTCATTGGGCAATCATCTCTTCACCACAGCAGGAACCCAAATCTGTCATCTCCAGAAACGAGACGGCCACTAGTTGAAACTTGAGAAAGGCATCCCCGAACACAGCCTCAAGCTACCTTTCCAGGAACATGCAGGATCCAGAAGCTCCCACAGATGGTGAGCTTGATTGGTCCATACATAGAGATGGTTACACCTGATTGCATGCAAGAGATGGTTACACCTGATTACATGCATTCATAAAGACTGTTGTCTTTGAATAAGTAGATAGCATGTATCTCTCTGTCTGCTAATGGCCAGTTCTGTCCTATAAAAACCTAGATTGGTTGAGACCAGGCTATCTGGAAGGTCTTCTCCTGGCACCACCACCATCAAATGTATGTTTAGAAGGGAGATAGTCTTCTCGGTGGCCATTGCCAAACTCCAGAAATCTGTTGTTAAAGGGTTTTTTAATCAGTTCACTGTTGTATGTTTTCTTTATATTATTTTAATAATATCTGATTTGTTAGCTTGTATGTTATGTTTTAATTAAGGCTTGGTTTTAGGATATTATTGTTAGCTGCCTTGAGTTTCTTTGTTTTTGAAGCCTAGAACAGGCTATAAATAAATTAAAACAGACATCTGTGCAAAGTTAGCAATTTCTAACTGTAAAAATATACACAAAAACAGCACCATCTGAAAAATTAGCCACAAAGGCAGGACCCAAAACCAGAGTTGGAAGCTTATTTGAAAATCAGTGTTTGGACCCTCTGTGGTTTGGTTACTCTCAGCATGGTGAGTCATGGCTTGCACTGTTTTGGGTGCTAGCGTTTGGGAAAGAACTTTGAGGTTCTCCAAGAAGATGGGGAAGGAATGGAGATGGTGGGAAGGGGGGGGAACCATGGCTAGACCATAAATTTGAAAAATAACACAGCCAAACTAAACTTTCTTCTAATCATGTGCAGCGTTGCTATGCAAGATAGTTTTCTTTATTTCTGTGTAAGCACATTCATCCCTTGTCTGAACTAGGGCCATAGTCCCCTCTGTCCTATGGTCCGTACTGCCCCTCAGAGTGGCAGCCAAGGGACATCATCATCACCATCATCATCATGCTCATCCTCATCATCACCGTCATCATCATCCTCATCGTTGGGGTCAAAGGAGTAGGTTTTTGTGCGCTTTGCTTTGCTTCGCTTTGCTTCGCTTTGCTTTCGGACTCCCTTGCTCAATACAAGGGTGAGGAGAAGAGATGAAATTTCAGGGGGTAAAACACTTCCCGCCTCAAAGCACCATGGTCCTGATCCAAATCGGGATCACACCAGCTTACCCAAGAGAAAATCATATTGTTGAGCATAGTAGAACAGTTGGTTTTGCTTGAAGCTAAAATTTGTGTCATATACAAATTCTAAACTAGCCAAAAAGGTCAGGGTTAATAGGAAGTGTTTCTAGTTTCCGTGGTGATGGAGATACAACTTTACTGTAAAATGTTTCTTTATTCTGCAAGGGAGCCAGGTCCTCTCTATCTTATTCTCACAACAACCACTCTGTTAAGTGGGTTAGTCTGAGAGTAGTTACTGGTCCGAAGTCACCCAGGGACTAGAACCAAGCTCTCTTGTGCCCCAGTCCAGCACTCTCCACCAGTTCAGCACAACGGGAATCATTTGCTCCATTGCAAAGTAAAGGCAAACGCATGATGGCGTCAACAGTGTAAATATCACTGTGCTATACAAACTGTACGAGGGAGGGAGGGAGATATTCTGAATGAACAAACACTTCTCATACCTTTCCGGAAGTCTTCACACCTTTCCACAGGCTAAAGAAAAGAACGATCACCACCACCCAAAGACACAACACAAGCTGCCATCGGGGCCAGCCAATATCTTGAATCCCGGGGCTTTGGTGAACCTGCAAAACTCTCCGTCTAGCCAAAAGCAGACACAAAACAGCAGAGTTTGACCATTTTTTAATGGAAAAGCAGACAATGAGTTCTCTGGTCCCTGCCCACAAGTGGCAAAGACTGGGAAATTTTAGTTCATTACTGATCAGAATTAACCCAACTTACACCTTCCAGACTGAACATAGACTCAAATATATTCTGTGATCAAGTCCATATGTTTCCAAGCTTGTAATATCTTTCACAGATCAATCACACTCAATCAATCAAAATGTATTTGTCAGCAAGTTCATATGGGAAAAACTGAGCATGGAAAAATGCTTCTTTTTGTAGAATGCACACAATACTCCAAACTAACATTTCACCAAAAGCCTTTTCATGTTCCATATTCATGGATTTGGTGTCTTTCCTGTTTGCTCACTTTCTGAATCATAAATAAAGGGGAAAGGTCCACCCCCGTCCTCCCAGTACGGCCCCAGTCTAAAGCTGCTCCCGCTTCCTGCAACTCCTCGTAGAGGGAAAATACATAGACATCCTGCAGGGGATCTCCCATATAACGTATAATTTGGCCCTAATGGCTTTGGGGCCGGAAGGTCCTCACGGGGACAAGCAATGCCCTGCAAAACGTCCATCTCGTGGCTCTATGTCTTGCATGTGACCGAAATCGATGGGACTTTGACATTGGTGCCATGTGCTTAGGAATGCGGTGCTCAAGTTTGTTTGTTCTGGCTCTGCCTTAAAGGCCAGGACTGAAAAACAAATCAGGGCACATCGCATCGAGGGACGTCATGTTCTTTTAAATCATGTTTCCTGTTTAGGCTTCATATCCTCTTCACAGCGCGATAAAGAGGGTGCATTCGGCATAGTGCACAGAATAGCAGTGGAATACGCAACGGAGGGGATCGAAGAGATTTGTGCCCTTCTCACATTGTCTCCGTCTCCTGAGTCGCAAGCATATGGCTTGCAGAGATCTCAGACCCATCCGTTCAGCATCAGAGAGGGGTGGTCCAACTTGGATGGTCCCTCTGGCCCCTTCCAACTCTACCATTCTACAATTCTAGTTGGAACTTTCTTGTCCTTTCTTGTCCTTATGGCTTTACCTAGTAAAGCCCTAAGATCGACAGAGGAGCCCTCCTTAGTTACTACATGACCAAGGAAATATCACCATGTAATAGCATACAGCCTGCAGCTTCTGGAACCTTGTCCCACATGTGGTTCAAGAGGCAGAAACTGCCGCAAATTTCATCTGCTTCTGAAAATGTCTATCAAAGGTCTATCACTATTTCATTGGTGTCTTAGCTGGAAAGTTTTGAAAAACATAGTTATTGTCTGAGATTGTTTTTATATGTTAATGTTGTATTTTGCATGTATTTCAGTATACATTGCTGAATGACCAACCTTTTCCTCTTTCGACAGAAAAAGCACTCAGAGGCATATGGCCATCTAGTGCTAAGCTGGAGAAGGTGGTGGAGACCACCTTAGACTTCTTGCTTTCTACTAGATGATGTAGTCTAAAAGTTGAGAAGGAGAAAGAGAGAGAGAGAGAGAGGGAGGGAGGGAGACGGAGACGGAGACGGAGGCAGAGATGGAGAAGGAAGAGACAGATGAGCGAGAGGGAGATGGAGGAAGATGGAGAGGGAGACAGAGAAGGAGAAAAGTGGGATAGTCGACATGCTGTTCCATCACATTTGTTGTCAGTGTGGCATCTGCAGGGTTTCTTTCAGATGTGGGTTTTAGATGAGAACTACATTTCTCGACTTCTACAGCATTTAACTAGAACAGGCCCAGGGACTGAGGACTCTATAGAACAAGATGCAGGCTGCCAAAAATACACATTTCCTTCCATTTTATGATGTGGTGACTCATAGCAGCACTATCTGAATCGATGAGGTTAAGAAGGAGTGGAAGAAATAACTACATTTGGCATCTTACAGAGAGGATTAAGAAAGCTTCTCCCCCATTACTTCATTATTTCCAGAAATGTTAAATTCCCAGCCTTTCTATAAAATTCTTCTTATTAAAAGGTTTTTAGAAATAATTGAGGAGAGACAGTACGAGCTGAGTAACATGATATAAAGACCCTGTCTTAAATATTTTAGTCATCATGTGAAAGGAAAGTATTTCATAATCCAAAGCTGTTCAATTTTTCAGGGGCATGGAGAAACCAGCTTTGGTCCTTGAGGTTTTTTCCCCTTGAATTTCTGTGGGTTTTTCCCCCAACACATACCTTGCGAAATATTAACCTTTCAGGCTTAGGGAATGAAATTAAGCTTGTTCAGAACAGCATATTTCAGTAGAAAGATTAGATCATCCGGGTTATTCTGATGTACAAAGAGCTGGGCCTTTTTATCCCATGTTGGCCTACTTTGATGCTCTCCATTTATAATTATCAAAAGAACAAGATCACGGAACAGCAAAGAGTTACAATATAATTACTGCTCCCAAGCTTCTAAAATAGGGCAACTTTTTATTATTATGTTAGAAATGTCAAATAGAAATAAATGAAATAGATTGTTAAACAAATACGCTTTGCCGAGAGGAAAATTAATTCATCTTCCTGTTGCGTTGCTTACTTTAATAAGAAGGGCCCATCCTCAGTCTTGTGTTTGCATTTTATTACAATTAGAAAGGAAACAATGGGAAACACTCCACTTCTACTCCTGCCTCCCTGTCATAATTACTAGCTAGACCAAATAAAAGAGGCCTACTTATGATTTAGTTCGTTTTCTTTTTACAATACATGCTCTCTGGCTATTGTGCATGATCTAGTCAGAATCGTGAGCTCCATAACACTTAAAAGTATAGACTGCGAGGAGATCTTCAGATCACAATGCTCAACCTCCGGGATGTTATCAGCCACACAGAACGGTATCAATGGCTATGGGAATATCTAAGAAGACGTGTTTTGTTCCCCTCTGAACACAGTGTTCAGAGTCGATGTTAAAGTGAGGTTGTCATGACCATGGAGAGGAAAAAGCTCTCGTTCCCCATGTTTCTAACTTCTCAAGAGCAAATTCCCTCCCATCTTTCCTGTAGTTATAGTGTAATATTTACTAAGTAAGCCCATCCTGCCCATAGTGTGGTCTGAAGGCACACATGGCATCCACCATGCTGAAGCTAAGCAGGTCTGGGGCTGGGCTGAGCTTGGAGGGGAGACCACTGGGAACTGCATGGAGCCACCTTGCATTCCATAAAGGGAGAAAGGTGGCATATAAATATAATAAATAAATAAGCAAGCAAATGTTCCCCTTTGCACAGCATCACTGCTTTATGGGCACATTTCAAAGGGGTAGTGTTGATATTTTAAAGCTAAAATGTGTGAATCTCCTTGGACTGGCCAAGTCTTTTTCCCATAAGTCCTACATCCCCCACCCCCAAATGGGGAAAATTGGGAAAATCTTGAGTCTATCCTAATGACTTAGATGATCTGCTGCTGCCAGTCAAGAAAACAGTCCCTGTCTTTCCATGCCTGGGCAAGAACAAATGCCAGCTCTCCAAAAAAACCCAAAACCCTTTGCTTTCCAAACTGTGCTGCATTGCAAAGTTTATGCAATTACATGAAAAGAAAAGGGAGTAGAAAGAGGAAGAAACCATTCTTCTTTTGCTGTAGCTACCTCTGCTTCTGCCTGGGGGAGGTAAGGGTGTTTAAAGTGAATTGGAGCAGGTGGGGTCGGGTTCAGTCAAACACCAAACATTCTGTGTTCCCGGTTCAGGATACTTTAAGGACTTCCTTCTCCCTTTCCCCTCCTACCATCTCTTGCTTCTCAGGTAGACCTAATTTAGCTTCAGTCCTGTTGATTCTCACTGGAGTTCATTCTTAGAAGCAGAACAGAATGTCCAATGCTAAATTTGAGCGCCTGGGAAACAGCAATGCAGAGTCGCCACCTCCAGGACCTGCATGTGGCCTGCCCAGAACATTCTAGTTGACCACTGTGGGAATCAGGTTCCCTTTCAGGTGGGCTCTAGCAGGGTTCTTGGTGGTCTCACCAAGCAGCCAGTATTCACATCCACCTGCTGGACAAAGCAGCGTTAATGCGAACAGGGATGCAGGGACATGCTTGGAACATAAAGTAGGTAAGAAATCTTGTAGGCATTTATTTTATGTAGTAGGCAAACATTGCACGGAGAGAACAATAAGGTGGATCAGATTTCAGAGAGATATTTAGGGCAGTGTGTCCATGAGATTGCAATCTATCCATTTTCTGTGTCACTGAAATAGCGAACTTCAAAGACAGCATACTTTCTAGCAATGGGTGTTGGGTTGGAAGCTTACATGAAAATGCTGCACCTTCCAGGGAGATTCTGAATCTTGTTATATTAGCCGCATAAAATTATTTAATTTATACACATTGGTGTGGATATGGCTTATCATCATCTCTATATCACTGGAACTCTCTGGATGGTTTATAAAAACCAGAATTTAAAGTTTATTTGATATGTTCCAGCTACGTGGGAACCTCATGAAGAGAGACTGCCTTGGAACTGATATCCAGTGACTTCGGTTGAATATGTGCTTTGTGATGATGCAACGACCGGAAAAGTGTGGATGTACAGATGGGAGAAGGAAGGATAATACAGTTCATCAAAGTTCCCTGCCTTCCATTTTGGTGCTCCTCTTACTCCTCTTCATCCCTGAATGAAAGCATCATTCCCCCCCCCCTACAAAAAAGCAATACAAGTGCACATTTTCAAGCATTTTCAAAGGCATCGCTCTCCCCCAGCGGCTGAAGTGTTAAAATACTGCTTTTAAGGAGGAAAGTATGTTTTGTGCACTTCTGAATGTAACTGCAAACTCAGGAACTAGAAAAGCCCCCCTGAGGATGCTCCGTCCACATTCAAGGTTGAGGGCAAGACAGGTCTACAAACATGAATGAACTTCTTGTATATCCCTAGGAATATGAACTGAAATCGGAAACAAATCCAGATCATTTTCAGAAGCAACATTATCTCCAGACATCCAGTACTTACTCATAGAATTCCGCAGCTGGAGTAACCTTGTATTTGGAGTAAGTGACTCCGGTAACAAGCACCGAGGCATTCCTGGGGTCCATGCAGTCGGCACTATTCCAGGGATTGCCACATTTGGTCCAGGGAAGTTCCCCAAGGGTGAAGGAAGCAAACAGGTAGTACAGAGACCAAGCTATGATGACATTGTAGTAGAAGCCCACGTAGAGAGCTATGAGTATCACCGCATAGCCTACACCTGAAGACCAAGCACACCGAGATTACACACAAAGTTGCACAATGTATTACAGCAGGATAAGATTCCTAGGGAAGGACAGAAAGGGGTGCTATCACTCCACAACTGCAGTTCGCAAGGAGTAAACCAGGTTTTAGTTCCCCTGACTTCTTTGCAATCAGAAGCTACCATACGATTAGACTGTGGTGAACTATTACTTTAGGAAAATAATTACTAGATATTCCATAAATTATTATACTGATGGTCTTCGACCAGTCAGTTGACCAGCATGGCAGCTCCGGTGGTTAGCAAAGGAAATGCATGCAAACTCAGGCTGCGAATCCAGAATACCATTCTTGGGGTACATGACTCAGTGATGCTATCTCAGTTCCTTTCAGAGGTAAATATGGACTAATAAGTCACACAGCTGGCTATTGTGACAGCTGCGTTCCAACCAGATGGTCCTGCGAGCCTATCATTTGAATAGGTGATTGAGCATTGCCATCTCGGTGCTCCATTTGTCAGAACCATACCATTTCCCCCACCTTCTCGATGTGACAACTCTGCCATTTATAACTAAGATTAACCTGCTGTGTTTAAACATTCCATGCTGTCCCTGGGTTACTAATGCATGGGACTGGAGTAGAATGCAAACTGACATTAGTTAATCTTTCTTTGCCTTTCATTCCCCTGCTCCAATAAAGTAATATTTTAGATTTTTTAAGGTCATCATTTACATCAAATCATATAGTGCAGACATGTAGAGTTTGGTTTGGTTCACATTTTTATTTGTTTTGGAAAAAGCTTAGCAAATTATTCTTATTAGCAGGCTGAACATAACTTGACATGTAAATTATTATTAGCATTATTATTATGCAGGTAGGAGAAAGCAGAAGGAAGGACTCATCCAACCAATCCCATGGCTTTTAGTGCTAAGCTCATTAAAGTTTGAGTCTGAATTCTCATGCATTCATTTAGAATTAAGGTTGTTGCTTCTCCACTCCCCCCCCCGCCCTTCTCCCTCCCTGACAAAATCCTCATCTTTAAGTGCCCAACATATTCCTCCCAAGTCTAGGAAGAATTATACCTCCTGAACATATCTGGCCATACTATGTGAGAATTTGATTTTTGCTCATGTTTCATAAGCATTCACCACTATTTGCAAATTTAGTCCTAAGTATCATGCAAAGAATTTGCAATTAAAACCATAATTGTAGTTTTTCCATTGCTTTAATGAAGGCTATAAACCTGGAGTACGACACTCCATCGCATTCCAGACTAAGGTTCTGCTCCCGGCTTCATCTTCAGTGTTTTGTATTATTAGATCAGTGAAAACATCATGTGGAATCCAGGTTCCTGAGGGTCAATGGCAAAACACACATGCAGAATTCCACTGCTGGCCTAAACTTTAGCTAGCTGATTGGGGCTTGGAATGAAAAGGCATAAAATTGTCAGTTGTGTGTCTCTAGGGAGGAGGTCACAGGTCCACATCGACATGTGCTGGGAGCAAACAGATGGAGGGAAAGTTTCATTTCCCCCTCTCAGTGTGCCTTAGTCCCAGTTTGACTTGGGCTCCTGCATACTTGCTCTGACATTAAAAAGGAACAGCTTCTTAGAAGCATGGGACACACATTCTGTGGCATGTAATTTGAAAGTGGTTTTGATGTTCTGGTTATTTCACAGTACATAACCGTGAAGTTCTCTATTGCCTAGATGGTCACTGGGTGGTCAGTTGGAGCAGCAGAAGACATTCCAGACCCTCTCTGGAAGAAGCTGCACTGTCACACAGAGCATTGCTCATCATACCTGCCAAAAAATAGTCGGACTGCAGCCATAAATGGAAAGATCACCAATTAATTTCAGAAAACGTTATTTTTCTAAGGTTGAAATACTGGCCAGTTGTGGATTCATGCATTGTGAAATGCACCACAATTCTTCTGCGGCTCAAAGAAGTCCTGTTCTGCCAATTTCATTCCTTTAACAAATCCCTCTTTGTATTATATAATTTTCAATAGTTGCTTAGCTCTACTTCAGTTCCATTATTGTTAGTATGATTATTGTTGGAGATCTTTTTAAATTAAGCTGATCTTGGCATTCTAGAATTAAAACTATGAACATGAGCCATTCCTATTGATTAACAAGCTTGCCAAAAGGTGGATGAGCTTCACTGAGAATGATTTGGTTTTCAAAACAGCAAAACTATCAAATCTATTGATCTTTAGAATATCTTTGCTGATATCCCAAAACAATGAATTGTTTAAAAATAACAAACTAAAACTCTTGACCAATATTTGACTTGGCATCTGATTGAGGATCGGATCCAGAGTGATACTGGATCAATTTCCCATGGCTGTTCTCCCAGAGCCCTGAAAATGCCACAGAGATACTCAGGATGCCCTGTGAGATGGTATACCTTCTATTGTGTAAGCAGATCCTATTAATTTATTTTATTATAACTATATCCCACTTTTGTCCCATGGTGGGGCTGCAGGTGGCTGCAGGCGTTTCCCAGCTGGTCTCCCCTCCAAGCTCAGGCCAGACCCAGATCCGCTTAGCTTCACCATGGCGAATGTGTTATGTGCCCTCAGACCATTCTTTGAGCCCCTAGGTTCAAGACAAGATCTTCCTTGACCAGCCAAATGCCCAACGTTTTTTCCTGGCAATACCTTCTTTACTGCGCACATGTGAAAATGGTCTCTATCCTATCTTTATGTTGGCTTGTGACCTGGTGTTGACCATGAAGGCCATAAAATAGTCTCTGAAAATTCAAAATAAACAAATAAAAGCTTCCTTTAATGCACACACCCAAGCGCCATGAAGCAAACACCTTCAGTTAAAGAGATCTGGAGATTTACCTTTAAAAAGTGGACAAATTTTCCACACAGTCGCAGCCCCTTCTCTGTTATACTGGCCCAAAGCTAGTTCCATATAGAATAAGGGCATCCCAGCGATGATGAGGAAGAGGATGTAAGGGATGAGGAAGGCACCTGGAAAACAAAGCCACCAAGTAGAGGTTCACCACGCTCGCACTTTGCAATGTGTATTTCGGTAAATGAGGGAAAAGCGAGGACCTCAGGAAAATGTGCAAAAAAGGTACACTTTCCATATTTTTCCTGAATGACCCCCCCCACCCCCACCAAAAAAAGGAAGCAACAGAAGAAAATGGACTCAAATGAAACGGAGTTGTGACGTGGAGTTGGAGGAGTTCAGAAAGCTTGAGCATCTGTGGTGCCTGCATCCTAAATATGGACACGTGCTCGGCCTGGTGGTCATATCACCCCAGTTCTGAAACTTCCTGAACATGTAACCTTCAGAACACAACCCTATGCATGTTCAGGCAGGAAATGCAATTCCCAGCATCCCCTGGCCAGCCAGTTTGAGGGACTGGCTCTCCTTGCTGAGTTGTGGCAACCAAGAAGAGAGTCCCAGTTTTGAAGCATATGGGTATGGGATTATTCTGCTTCCAAACTGTGGAAGTATACAATCTGGTCCCCACTGGGGAACAGAGTCAGGACACTTCTTTTTAATTCAGATTTTCAAAATTGTAATACTTTAAAGGTTATTTTTAGACCATTTCACCATGCCCAGGTTTATGATTTTCTTTTGCAATTTGGTAAACCCATTTTAGTCGGTTCCAAGAAAGGTGGCCTAGAAATGCAAACTAAGGATCATGATAAATAATGAGCATCAGATGGTTTCCCATCCAGTGATGATCTCTGTCACCAGCTTGTCCTTCACTGCAGCAAGGGGCTCTCGGCTCGTACTCGCCGTGTAACCAGGAAGCTGTCTGAACAAAAGGTTGTGGCTTGTTTCAACCAAGTCCAGAGCTGCTTTCTGTCTTCTCTTTCCCCTCTGCAGATCCAAACCCCACAGGCCCCCCCCCCCCCGTCCTCTGATCTGTGGACACTTGGGAGGAGCCCAGTTGGCTGAACAATGAACCAGATATGAAATACAGCTCAATGTTTGCGCTCAGCTCTGCGCTCGTGCGATCTACGGCTGGGCAGTGGCGATAGCTGCCACACTGGACAGAGTCAATCCATCTCTGCGATACGCGTCTCCCTGGGAAAACAAATGCATTCTCCCATCAGGACACGGCTGATTTAAATATCAAAGTGCAACTGGAGTTAATGGGCAACACACGAGATCAAAGAACATAGACTGCAACAGATTACATGTATTTGTTTGAGGAGTTCATAGACCCCACGACACACAAAATGGAATAAATCAGCAAGTACCCAAACTGAGATAACCAGAGTATGGACCCATTAATTTATTTGTTTGCAAATGGATATCTTTCTAAATCCTTCTCTCTCTCTCTCTCTTATTAATGGAAGGGTAGGAGAATAGGCTTCATCAGGGAAAGAAGACACTAACCAAGGGCTTAGTCCTATGCATATTGAACATCCCCACCCTCAGATGAAACACTAGTTGTTCAGAGGGAGATGAAGGGAAAACAGGCTGGCTTTCTGCTGGGAGTCCGATTTGGAGATATAATCGCCTTCTCCCATATGAGTCTGCCCAAGTTTTAAGTTCTTCTTTCAGTACCACATCCCACAGGGGTGTTTGGTGGTAATGCAAGAGCAAGAGAGAGAGAAGGAAAGAGAAAGAATCTACTTTGTGGCTGCTTCCAGGCTTCCTGCCATGGAAGACAAATTTAGCTTCCTCTTTGCCAGCCTTCCGCCAGCAAGCAAAGACGATTGTATTCCTTGGCAAGCCAATGGGCCCATCCCACTGGATATCTTCCTTCCTTCTTTTATTGTTGCATTTTTAATTGTGCTTTAATGGACTCATTTTCTGAGTCACCACCCCAGGTGTTTTTTACAGGGCTAATCTTCATGGCACAATTTAAGCTGCTCTTAATTATTCGTTTTCAAATGTTTGCATCCTTACAAAATTTTAATGGCATTTTATGGTATTGCTTCTATGAGCCGTTGTAAACTGCCCAGAGAGCCTGAGCTGTTGGGTGTCACAGAAATGAAATCATAATAATACCAGTGATAAGCCCTTTGATAGATGTCTGCTTTATTCATTAGATTTTTATCCCACCTTTTCCAGTTAAAGAACTCAAAGTGGCTTGTATCCTTCTCCTCCTACTGCTCTCAATGGCCAAGTGGGGACTACAACCCAGATCGCCTGAGTCCAGTCCCACACCCTTAACCACTATACCACACTGCCTCTCATATGTATGCATCTTTGCTAATAATCTGCCCCAAATGCTTGGGAAAAAGACGAGGTGCAAATCAAAGGCAGGCAGGCAATGTCATGGCCTCAAGAACTTCCAGAATACTTCTCCCAGCAATGCCCGCCAGCATGTCCAACCATCAGGAGTTATGCAAGTTACCATCTGAAACTTCCCAAGGGCTCTAAGTTTCCCAACAAATCCATCTTGCCAAAGGTCTGAGGTGGAGGTTCCCAAAAAACCTCGGAAAATCTAGCTAATTGCTCCATGTTCAGCTTTCATGAATCTCTGATGAGATCTGAGAATCCGCCCCATGTTGCAGGATGGGCCTATTGATTAAAAGCAAAAAGAAAGAACAGGAGTCCTGGGTGGGCCCACTGATGAACAGCACATCTTGGATGGGTTTGTACAAGGCTGATGATCCTTCGGGTCAACAGAGACTGAAGATTTGTGCATGACTGTATTTGGCAGACGGGAAATGGCTGTGGGGGTGACGATCAGATTATATTTTCAACATACTCTATTCTAGTGGTGACAAAGGGCCAAACTGCAGGTGCCCCTAAATGCAGAATAGGCAAGGGGTTGCTTAACTAGTTTGCAGGAAAGCGAAGTGCATAAGTGAGCCACCTGAAAAGAATGTGTGGCCTGGGAAGCAACCGATAAATAATTGTAACGAATGGAGATGTAGGTGTGGTTTGGTCAATGCATCTCATTGCACTTAGGCTGTGGAGTGATCCCCTGAACCACCCGGGCTCCATAAGCGTGACATAATGATTGTGTGGGATGGGAGCCCTGACCAACCAAGATGTCTATTCCCTTGGAGGAAATGCCCTGTGTGGGAAAGCTGCACCTCTCACTGGCTCCACCCGTTGTTACCTTCATGGGTGGCCACAGTACACATGCATATTAAGGGGGCATGGCTGGAGCCATGGATTCCCACTGGTTCACCACACCGTTGATACCCAGAGATACCAAGTGCCCAGAAAGGGCTGAGATTTTATCTGAATGTGGATCGGTATCTTCCCCAATGGGAGTAGCAGACCAAGGGATGTTCTGGCAGACCCAGGCACAAAGCATCCCTGATCCCTCAGGTCATCTAGGTGGTCTTGGGCAGGGGCTATGCCTCTGTGGTCTGCTCTGAGGACAAATAAGCCACGTTGACTAATGTCCTTCCTACGCACTCGCTCATTGCTTGCCCACAACAGGCCATGGGGCTTGGTTGGCTCGTTACTCATGACAGCTAGCCATCCCCACCAGGTTTGCATGTCATGCCATGCTGTGACATGACATCATGTACTGCCGGTGGACTTGCTGCCATGTAGCACACAAGCAACACATGTGGAAGCTTGGCCTCTTCTCTCTCTCTCTCTTGCTGGTTGTGCAAACACAGCCAGTGGCCTGTTCTACATCAACATTGCGTGTTTCTGGGTTTTCATCTCCGCAAGGAGGAGGGCTTTTTTGGAAAGCGAATGGACTGTAATCACCCATTCAAGACCAGGCCATCGGAAATGCTTCTCATGATAGCTCACAACGACACTGTTGCTATGAGAAACCATCCCAGCAGTTCTCCTGCCCGTGAAAAAGACCTTCAGCCCTGTGAAGGCTGGTTCCTCTGGGTTTTGACCTCCAGGATTTCCTTGCTCTTCTTGGAGATGTTGAGGAGTGGATCCGGAGCGTCCCACAGGCAAGGTAGTACGCATCCTGTCACAGACAAGGAGACTTAACACTTTAACTACAAGGTCGTCTGAAGAGCCAGGCTTCAAAGTACCAGTTTGCTGTGGTGCTTCAGCTGTTTGTTTTAAGCTCAATCCATCAAAATGTTTTAATGCTTCCTTTTATAGCTCGCCTCCACATGGATTTCAGAGTGGAAAAAACAAAAGTATAAAGCACCAGTCCAAATAAACAAGCAAGCCTTCTGACATCCGTTCTAAAAGGAGCACTTTTGCAGGGGGAGGGGGGACTCAGGAGAGAAAGAAAGCAGAAAAAAGGGGAAGGGAAACACCATGAGTCCTTGGACATCAAGGTGAATCAAAGTGCTTGAATGCATCCGAATGAAACTCCGTTGGCTTTTCATGGGGAGTAATGTACGAACCGATAGGAGGTAGATGAGTGCAGAGGAAAATGCAGTCTGGAGAAGGAACAAATATAAACCTTTCCAAGTAACACTTGACTCTCCCCTTACTGTGTCATAATGACCCCTGTTTCCACAACACAAGTGGCATTTCTGCACGCAAGTAACCAAAGTGCCTTCTTGAGATGCCACTGAAAGGGGGTGACACTGGAGATCTGTGATTGGATTTCCTGGGTGCGGGGGGGCGGGGGGGGAGAGAAATGGCTTGCAGTCATAATGCCAGGGAGGAAAAAAAGCAGGTTTGCGATATAGTCCTGACAGTGACGAGCAAAAGGTCCCCTGGCTTATTTTCACTCACTTCCTGTGTATGGAAATAGAGTCACATGGGTCTCGGACCTGTTTCAGTTGCTGGGCACATCCAGGATTTTGATGCAGCCTCGCAGGCGTGCTCACAAAATGTCTGCCAGGGATGTCTTTGCTACTCATTTTCCAGGAAAAGCCCAGTGCAAGTAACTACACCAACAACCTGATTATAAGGCTGGCATGGGGTGTTCTGAGCTCCAAAACATTAAACCACCCAAATAAACATGTTGCTGAAGGACAGAATTTGCCATACAGCAAGCTAGCTTCCTGTTTTTAAAAGTTATTTTTTTATAAAGCTTTAACTCTTAAAAATCAAAAGAGGCAAGGAGTCTGCCTTGTTGCATTTCAGCCTCCCAGTTCCAAGAAAAATGTCT